AGAGGATTGATACTGACAAGTATACCAGGCTCCAATGTCTCCCTCTCCGTCGTCGGCATCCCCGCCGCCATGCAGGCCCCCGCACCCCTCGCCGTAAAGCAATGGTACACAATCTTCACGCGCGGCGGCGCAATCGCCCGTCCTCTTGCTGCTATCTCAGCGCTGGCAACGGGGTACTTGGCTTATCACCGTACGTTTAGTCACATCCCATCTCCCTTCCAACCCCCCAAGTCCCATTCCATTCACCTACGATCCATCCAAACCTCAAGCCACCACACATCTAACAACCCAACAGAAGACCGCACCTCCACCCCCTTCCGCCTCAACGCGCTCGCCACCCTCCTCCTCCCCTCCATCGTGCCCTTCACGATCCTCGTCCTCGGCCCCACAAACAACAAACTCATGGCCAAGAAAGACGAGCTCGCCAACGCTTCTCTGCGCGACAAGCACGTCGAGCAATTTGCCAAGGAAGGCGAGACAGTCAAGGAATTGATGGACAAATGGGCTAGTTTGAACTTGGCGCGCGCGCTGCTCGTCGGTGTCGGTGCGGTGTGTGCTGTTGCGGCGGGTGTTGTGGGCAGGAGGGAGGTCAAGGAGATTGGCAGGTTTGCGGGGTGGGGACGGTAGATTGGATGTGATAGGATGCATGGATTATGGCTCGGAGGGTAGATGAAATTTGGATATGAATCATGGCTTATAGGGCAGATAAAGATATATGGAGATTATGATACACGAATACATGCATTGATCAATATAGCTCAACTTGAGTAGTAGACCAAACTCAGGAGAAAAGAGGTTCGCATTGGAGGAGAAGCTTCTGCTTGTAGTAAGATGTGGCCTGGGACTTGTGAAGCGCGAATCTCTGGGCTGGCTTAGGTATATATCTAGGTTTGCGGAACACTAATAATGACTAAGATACGATAAAGGCTCTGTGCCTCAATAGAGAAAAGACGTACCCCTTTACTACTTCAGCACACCGCAATCCGTGTAACTCCATAGCTTAGTCTCTACAACATCACGTAGCACTCCTCAATAACAACCAACATACAATCCACAAATACATTTATTCATGCACTTGGCTATAACGATTCACCCATCAACCATTCAAATAACCCCCACCATCCACTCTTTTTAGTTAACTTTAGCCTGAGCAAGGCTGTTAATCTGCTGAGCACCATCCTGAATCTTGCCATTCGCAGCTTGGAAACGGCACAAGTTGCCAGAGCGCTCCTGGACGTTGTTGTCGCATACGAGTTGGTCGTTGGCTACGCAGTTGAGAGCGCCGTTGCCTTCGTTACATTAGTACATATCTCTCACTCATCTGTCTCTCTCTCGAAGTAACTCGTCTGGGTCTCAGGGTATTAGGGTATTAAGTATACGTACAAGCAGCAGGTCCACCAGGCACACACTTTCCAGCCGCACCGTTAACAGTGCAAGCATCCTGCTTGAGAGATTGCTCAGGAATACAGCATGCGCCGTTAGCTGCCTGACGGTTCTCAAGCACGCTGCGGGGGGTGTTGCGGACGTTTTCGACGTCGGCGATGGCGGCGGAGGAGACGGCGACGAGGCCGAAGAGGAGGGCTGTGATGGAGAACTGCATTTTGGCGGTTTTGGAGTAGTTGGTTTGTCGGGGTATTAACGTTGATTATTGATTCGAAAGTCGATTGATGGATGGTGAGTGAAAGTAATCTGATCCGCACAGCGGGTAGTGAATAAAGGTAAATGTAGATGTGAATTGGAAGACTGGCTTGAGAAATGATTTACGGGCTGGCGTAGATGCGAGCTTTATACTTGCTGTGAGAGGCTCCTTCTTCTGAGTACATGGCATTGATACCTATTTCGCTGCTTTCCATAAAAGGTATCCAGGGACGGTGATCCTGAGGCAAGTCGCAGGCAGTCGATCATGCACATCTCAAACCTTTGGCCGGGTGGTCGGGCCCTGGCGGGTCTGGTAAACCGAGGGATCGCAAGCGGGCGAAACAATGATTATTGTGCGTAGGCAGTGTGGCCGAGGTGGAACCGGTGTACTGTTATTGCTAGTCTCGCGGGTTGCAGTATACTTACAATGACCTTCTCTCGTGGACTAGCACCTTGGTGGTGGTACACGAAAATCGCGTTCCACCCCATCTCTCACCAACGCCACACTACCCAACCACAAGCGTGCCGTCAAACCCGAGTCGACAAGCGAAACCGAAGCGCTGCCTTGCACTTGAAACACTTGCTGCCTTCTCAAACATGCGGCCTTGGGGACCTCGGGACCTTAGGGACCTCGGGATCTTGGGGAATATGTAAAACGCAGAAGAACCTGCGGTTAAACGGCTGATTTAGGCGACGGGTCTGTGACATGCAGGTTCAGGCGCTTCCAGGCGCACAAGGCATGACGGTCGTGAACGAGTTGAGCGTGAAGACCGAGGAAAGCTTTGTCTGAGTGCAAGCGGTACCGATGCGTTGGTTTCGTCGAGGGCGATTTTGCGTGGTGCGAGAGGCAGGGTGAAACTGTCGGCTGAAGTACACCGCTCTGGCGTGTAGTACTGCTGCTGCCCAGCACCAAGAGGGATATCTCGATAGGGTTCGGGAGAGTTTAGACATTAGAGAGATGCGGTACGGGTATCTGCGCATAACGTCAGGACTGAAGGTTGCCACGCGCGCATGCAACGCCGGCGCTGAACACGATGGTATCTGCACATATCGCTTGCGCAACACCGCTGACTACGCTAAAGATCCTGCTCAAGTTCGCCAGAGTAAAGAACATGTCCCCGGGCTGCGCCACAGGTCCTGCGACGTTGACGAGAGACCTTGTTTAGACTGTGATACGCCTACTGTAAAGACAAAGTAATGTAGATGGATGTATGGTACGTTTAATCCGGAAGTAGATACGATTTGCCCATTCATACGTGGACTGTGATGAATCATCCGATATGCGGAAAGTACTGCGACCACTGTGGGACGTCGAACGCCGAATCCGGGAGGTGAAAGACATCTAGGAAACATTCGACGATGATGAAAGTTCTACAGAAGATGTAAAATAACGCAAAACTTGCAAAGAACGGCCTGGTAATTGCCTTGCAAAGGAAGTAAATGCGTCGTCGCTGTGGAGATAATTCGTCAACAGGTTCGCTCAAGACTGCGAAACACCAAATTCCAAACACAAATGGAATACCCGACAACAGAATAGTCAGGCTGCTGATTTTCCAGAGTAGCTCATCCGTCTGGCCGCGAAAAGATCGGTTCCAAACAAGAAGATGTATAGCGCCGTAAAACAGGCCCGCCAGAGGAAACCCCAGGAGGGATGAATGCCACTCCGCATCCGAATCCGTATCGAATATCTTAGGCTGATTACGCAGACGCACCTTTAGATAGTCTTCATTTCTTAGTATGGTAAACAGTGGGGTACTGCGTAACTTGAACTTCATAGCGGATTCTGAAGCTAGTTGGAAGCGTTCGAAATCTACATCGGTGAACCTCGCGTATCTGTTCATGTGTTTCGTCGTGAAGGGGATAGCAAAGCCGTGGTATACGGCATAATATGGGCTCGAAAGCTTTGGATCCTTCGATCGCTTGAGTCTGATGTGTCTCGAGCGAAGATAAATGATCGCATCATCAAAGTCAGGCGTCGAATCGAAATGTTCATCCTCCTCCTTGTCCACAGGTGACCACTTGACATAAGGATATTGTTGGCTGATAGCTAGGAAAGCGATTACCGAGTGTGCGTCAACATCTGTGAGAATGGTCGGCTCTTCAACATCAAGGGGCTTATGCCACCAAAATAAAAAATACATGAGCAAGGTACAGAGTGCATGCGCGGCGGTGTTGATCTCCAGTAACGAGATAGAAAGACCTTGAGCTGACCGAGTTGTACACTGTACGCCAAACCACAACGCTTGTCCGCAAGTCACAAGCTTCGTGAACGCATTCGCCTTGCTCTTATCGACTATCGCAGATTTGGGCACATCCGGGAGAATATCAGGCGTGTGGTCGGCGAGGAATTTGAGACCATGCAGTGTTAGTGTCATCCTTTGTCGCCCACCGGGAAGGTAGTTCAGGCCCAGATCCCGAGTATCGACAACGAAGCCGCCCATTGTGGCGTATAGGGAGTGTGCCCGTGTCCAAGGGTATCTTTTAGGTTTAAGATCAAGCTCCAAATCCTCCTGCTGGAAAGACTGCCTAACTTGTTCGATGGGTCCTGTCTTGATTTTAGTCCATTTCAGGTTGTCAGAGAACCATCGCCAGACAAGATTGAGTTTTGTCGGTAATGTCTTGATGAGACTGGGAGATTCTGGCTGTCCAAAGGCCCTCCTCATCGTTTTCCCAATTTCGTTTGCCGCTATATGCTGACGGTAGGCAGTCAAGACGACCTTGAATTAAATCAACGTTGGCCAACCGTGCGGCAGAGTGATCAGACTCACCCATTCTGGGGCAAAGATTGCTATAACCATCCAGCCTAACTTCCGCCGGGTTTGCGGTGCGATTCGCCAGGTTTGCGCCTTCACATCGTCCGTTTCATGCTCAGGGATGTTCAAGTGAACGGATGTCCAGACGCACAGGATCATCGTCAGTAGAGAGGACGAGAGTATGGAGAACGTTCCGCGAACCAAAGGCTCTGGCTTCCAGGTGTGGTATTGTGTACCGTTGGGTAAAGTCGTGTTCGCCATCTCGTCTACCGCCTTGTCCAAAGCTGAGTACAAGCTGCGTGCCCGCGATACGATGTGTGGGATCTTCTCTGTTTGCTTGATGTCGGACTCGGAGCGTCTTCTTTCTTGTGTTGGTCGAAGGCCGTGGTCAATTAGGGAAGATGGAAGTGAATCAGTTCGGTTTGCTATCGGTCAACCGCTTTTCAGCTGGCAAAAAGGTGGCGGTTGTGACGTCGCAAGGTTGAGGCCCCACTCGCACCTGAAAGCGGACAGACATGCAGGTCGCGAGCTTCTCACTTGCTTATGGGATGGTGCCAAGCCTGATGGTCATAGGATAAAGATTTGCGGTGTCGCACAGCAGTTTGCGCCTCACAACCCGTAGACGAATGTGAGCCTATCGTCGCCCTCCCTACCAGCTCGCGCAGCCTTCTCAAGCCAATCCGCGAGCCACGCAAGCTTGGTATGCGACCGCGTCACATTGATGGCTTGCCTGAGCCATCGCTGTTGCTGCGGCACCGGGCCTCTGCCATGCAGCCTTTCGGCCTCGACGTCATCTTCGCTCCACTTGCGCAAGATGTTCTGCCGCGTCTCGTTCTCAGCCTTCAAGCGTCTCAGGAACAGCACATAGCCGAGAGCTGCTAACGCGACAGACGCAAGTGTCCACCAGAACGGAACGATGTAGCCACCCGCGGCATACTTTGGTCGGAACAGGATCGCTGAGATGACTCCAGCGAGGTTGCCCCAGCCATTGATACCAAGCAGCAATGCGCGCTTGCCGGGCGACGGCGTGTTGCCCGATATCCAGGCCACAGTGAGGGGAGATGCGACGTAGGTACCGGAGAGGAGAATGTTGAGAGCGATGTAGCGAGGTATTGCCCATGAGCTTGGCAACAGCACCACGATTACCAATCCGGCTACCATAATGAACAGACCAAGCAGTATAGGCTTGAGGCGTATGCGATGTTTGTCGCTGTAGCTAGCTGCGAAGTACAGTACTATGGCTCCGCAGATATGTGGCGGTGCAGTAAGCAAGTTGATGAGCGCAGGATTCGCCTTCTTTGTCAAAGGTGCCAGTACAAGCGGGAGGAAGACAGAGAAGGCGTAGACTGGGATGGCAGATAGAACGTTACAGGCGAGGATATGCCATATCTTCGTGTTGAACACTGATGAAAGGACGTCGTGAGGGCTTAAACCACGATCGTCGACCAGCTGTCGCGATGGCGTGGCTGAGGAGATGGAGTGCTTGGACGAGTCGAGAAGACCGCGCGACTCCTCATCGTAGGTTTCTTCCGCTTCTCGATCGTCTTCTTGGACCGCTGCCGGCGCGTTCTGTATGTCTCTGTCTCTCACTACACGCGAAGACGCATATCGACGCTCTTCAGGTGTGAGGAACCATGCTGTCTCCACACTATGTGGCAGCCAGAAATAACCGATGAAGGCCACCACGATAGTGAGAGTGCCTTCCAGCAGAAACAGCACCTGCCATGGTCTCCAATCTTTGTCCGAACCTCCATCGCCGTTTCCGAAGTGGGAGAACACTAGGTAGCTTATAAGGCCCCCAAGCGCACCACCGACTGCCGCCTGGCCGTAGAAGAAGGAGAGCCGTCTGCCGAATTCGAAGCGCGTGTAGAAGAGGGAGAGGTAGGTAACAGTGACTGGATAGAAGCCAGCTAGAGAAAGTGTTAGCTCGAAGTCTGGAAAGGAAGCGACGGTTGAATGAGGAAAGAGCGAGTGGGAGGCTTCCATACCTTCAAGACACCCGATGAGGATGCGCAGCGTGTACAGCTGCCACCTGTGCCTCACCCACGCATGCAGCGCCGTGCATACCCCCCAAAGAAGCATACAACTGGGCACCCAAAGCACCATGCCATACCTCCTCCCCAGCGCCGCGCCCAGTGGTTGCAGCGCAACGAAGAAAGCGAAGAACAGCGCAACAGCCGTATTCAGCGCGCCCTTGTCCAGCCCGATGTCCGCCGTGAAATGCGCAGACTCTGCATTTCCAATCTAGCATTCATTAGCAACTGTTCTGCCTCCACAATACGCGTATACGTACATTCGACTTATCCAGCGCATTAAACAGGAACAGCAACGCCAGAAATGGCAGTAGCAAACAGTCCAGTTTCCTCAACGTCCTCTTATGCAACCGCGCATCCACAGCGTATGACTCCTCCAGCTCATCCGGCGGCATCGTGTCGTGTTCCGTTGCAGAGGCAGACGAAGCTGCAGTGAGCTCGTATAGCTGGTGCTCATGGTCGGCCATATTGTCGGGCGCCAAGAGCGAGCCCACGCGCATGCATCACAGGGTCTGCGACTTCGGATGACCTCGGTCTGTGTCGCGGGCAGTAACGGGTTTGGGTAAGTGCAAAATGATTAGAGTCAACAGAAGGATGCATGATGGAATGGTGTGGAAATGTCAGATGGAGATACGGAAGATTAGATGGGCGGTTGAGCTATTGTTTTGGACCCTGAGGGCATGACGTTGTTGATTGGAAGGTTTATGGGGGTGCTGGGATTGGCGCTGGAGTGGGAAGGCGCCGAGGGTGGCTTATCGATTACCACCGAGATTGAAGATTATCGTTTGTTACCTAGGTACTCTCATGACTTTCTAACGTGACACAATGACATTCGACGCATCACATAACCTTGGTCTATTGCGCCATCCCCTCTTCCCGCTTTCCAAACGCCTTAACAGCCTCGTAGTACAACGTAGCAGTCGCCTCACACGGTCCCTTTGCCTTCTCAGTCGCACATTGGTTGAACATGTCCGTCTTGAAGTTACTGTCGGTGCGCGCCTTCATCGCATCGAAGCGGCCTTGTTGTTTGTAGTTGCGGTAACCGAAGTCGTGGCGGTAGCAGGAGTTGATGACTGTGATATCTCCGTTAGCTACGGGCATCGGTTTGACGGCGGAATATCGGATCACATATGTGAGATGGATGAAAGAGGATATAAACACATACAGTCGAATCCAAACGGATTATCTGGGCTCGCAGTGCAACCATTGCTATCCCAGTTCAGTTCTGGAGGGCCGACCTTTCCGTTACGGTTGGCGATGAACTCGGCGATGGAAATGTCGAACATGTAGCTGTCTGTGACTTGCTCGAGGGTTCCCTGACGTTCGACAAGTTGCGCAGGCGCGGAGACCGCAAGAGAAGCAAAGCCCAGGATGGCGGTGATGATAGTGGACTTCATGGTGAGTAGAGTTGAATAAAGCGTTCAGGATTGAAGTCAACGTATATGAACCTAAGCTAAGCTACACCTCACTTTATACTACGTACACCACGATGCGTAATGTCCCGATGTTTGCGCCGCGGGGCCTCCCCGGTCTTGGAGTCTTGTGCCATTATGGGTACCTGCATGTGTGCTTCGGAGCAGATCACTTGCATATGAAATGAAGCACTTCGTCGAAATAGGCCCTTATGTGCTGGAAGCGTTGTAGTAGGTAAAGAAACAGCATGCAAAAGGACGGAAGAATACATGCGCATGCCAGATCTGTCAGATCTGTCCGTTGTCACGGTCTTATGTCGGACTTGCCAAGAGGTATGTAAGCAGGTGATCCGAGACAGCCTCTTCAGCCGCGCTATCACGACCGCAGTCGTTGCGCATGTTGTTGATCGATATTTCGCATTAGTGAGTATGGGGAAAAGTTGGAAGGTCACGAGTGAGGAAAGTGCTTGTAGTGTCGTGGTGATAAGAAGGAAAGCAAGATTCAAAATTGAGTCTACGCAAAGACGAGGCAGATACTGCAGGTGGTTGTAGGTACTGACACGTCTGATATCGATAACCAGCTTCTGCAATGACAAGTCTCGTCAAATTGAAAGAGGACTTTGCTAGAAGTAGCTGGGTACGCATCAGAACATGGCAGGTCGACTTATGACTGCGTGCCGACGAAACGCACTTTCGAAATGCCGCTCGGGAGCCAGTCATAGGATGCAATTGCCGTGGGTGTGTCGTCCAGTTTGACTGTCTGAGGAGTAATAAACCCTGGAGGCTTGAGCTTGGTAAGCTGAAGAGATGCCCCACATGTTCGTTCTTCGTTGGTTTGATAAACACGGCTACCTTTGACTGATGCGGGGTTGTCGCTCTGAACACGTTGGGTCCTCTCTGCAACTTGTCCAGCTCATGCTTCCTTCCTCGTAGTATCGTCAGCGAACCCGAGATATCATTTCAACATCAGAAACGCCCTGTAGTCATCACTCCACAGATCACCATCCTTCGTGCAATGCCATTGAATTGTCTATGAGCATATTCCCACTACTTATACAGTGTCATCGGCTCTTTCTGGTCCTTCCATTCCCCTCGCTTACAACTTGCTGATGAAGAGACGGGCAGCGAACATGCGCAGACGCTGGGGGAGGATGTACTTGGAGAAGATGTAGATGAGCGATGGCAGGAGGATGAAGGCCACGGTGGTCTCGTTGACGAAGAAGAAGGGGATGAGCTGGGGCATGGCCGACTTGAGGATAGTCTGTTGTTTGTATTAGCTTCCTTCCCTCATTCAACTACGTCCTATGTCCAATCTCACCATCTGCTGAGGGCCAACCTCGGTCTTCTTGTTCTGGCTCGCGATGAAGGCGGGGCGCGCCAGGGCGGAGGGGCGGACGGCCATGGGCGCGCGGGCAGCGGCGGCCCTGGAGAAGGGGCGGAGGAAACGGGCGGCGTTCATGATGGGCTATCTGGAGTTTTGCGGGTCAGCGCGCTGCCGTGGGGGTCCAATTGGCGGGGCTGAGCCTGCGAGAGGGGGAATTGACGCACTGGACGCGATGGTCGAAGCCTGGGGAGATGAGGGGAGATGGTGTTGCGGTCGCGGGAGTTTCGGTGGTGTTGCTATCGTCGTCCGCAAAAGCTCGCACAGCTGCGATCCCGGAAGTTGCCGCGTCCGTGCGTTGGCTTGGCGCTGCCTTCCCTACCAACTCCGCACTTCCCCACGACTACTCATCTGTATCACACATGGCGTCTTTGGAAGCTCTTGAGACTCCTATACTGTCGCCTCCACCCAGCGCATCCCCTTTCACGATAGCCTTTGCTCATGTTCTGGAACGCCCCTGCTGCACGCCGCCGGACTGCCTCACACTAGAGTTTAAGGTTTGCACAGTACTCCAAACATGATGATTGGTGTAGACAATGTCGGATCTCTTATCCGCATGGATATCACAGACCTCTACAGCTTCATTTCTGGTCCTATTTTACATGACGAAATGAGCTAGTGTTGGCTCTTCCTTTCAACCGTGTCAAGTGCGGGGGGCCTCATATTCCAACCTATGTAAAGGTGAAGCTTACTGCACTCGTGTGACATTTCCTCACCTGCCCTTGATTTCAAAAACACCAACATGGCCATCGAGAAGATCATGATATTAGGAGTAAGACGCGGGATGGGCTGACTGGTATCGAATGGCTAACATGCGCAGAATTGGGAGCTTTGCCTCACCATTCTTAACGCCCTCTTCCCACATGAAAAACGACAAGGAACACCCAGATATCAAGTCACTGTACTCACTTATCTTTCACAAACCCTCAGCCTGCCACCTCACGTCAAGGCCTCCGATGTACAGCACAAGAAATCCGGCTACTCGTCCGCTTCACTACAGTCGGTAATGACTGGGCAAGACTTGGTTATAAGCACAATGTCAGGCGGAGATGCAGAGCAACAGATCCGCATAATAAACGCCGCCATCGCCGCCGGCGTCAGGCGCTTCATCCCTGATGAATTCAGTCACGACAGCATGAACAAGCAGATTCAGACGCGCATTCCAAAAGATGCCGGCCGAGCGAAGGTCATTGCTCATCTGAGGAGTATGCGGGAAGATTACCCATATTTCGAATGGACAGCGATTGCGACAGGATATACGCTTGATACCCAGCTCATCAGCGGCAACATGGGGTTCGACCTCGAATGGCATAGCGCGACTATCCATGGCATCGGTACTGAAGCTTTCGCAGCTTCCAGTCTGGAGAGAGTAGGGCGAGTCGTGGAACGCGTCATCTCACACTGGGACCAAGTCAGGAACCAATACATATACGCTGCAGGCGTCATAACGTCCGCCAACGAGGTCCTGAGATCTACTGAAAAGACGACTGGCCGTGAGTTTACCGTCGGAAACCACGATGTCCAAGAGTGTGTTGCAGAGGGAGAGAAAAGAATAGAGAAAGGATTTCCCGACTCAGGCATGTTTCTGCTCGAGCGGAGCGTGTTGTATGACGAACAGCTCGACGCTTTAAGGCCTTTCAGGAATCGCAACTCGAACTATGTACTAGGACTCAAATCAGAGTCGGTTGAGACTATCGTCAGAACCGCCTACGACGACTTCAAACACTACGGCAAACCAGGATGCGGATGTTCAGCTTGATACCCCACTTAACGTCAGTTTTCTATACCATACCATCAACCTCATGCCTAATTCTACCTCGTCTCCCCTCCAATCGCACTGCCTACCCAAACCATACCAAAGCCCTCCCCCGCAAGATCCGCATATCCCGCATAATCTCCCATCTCCACACCCACCCCCTACCCGTCCTCTTTCCCGGAGCGGCAGACGAACAGTCCTTCATATAATTCAAAAGTCACCCTTACCGATCAGGAACGATGTCGTGCATACACCCGGATAACGCCACGTCGTAGATCCCGTTCGGCATCGCTTGGACCCTGAGTTCGACCCAGCCTCAGGATACGAGGCCAGGATTGTGGTATGGAGGGATACGCGGGATACGAGAGCGCATGGCGGGCCATTGTGAACGACGTTGCGCATGAGTAATTTCCTGGACATCTTTAATAAGGTTCGAGGAAGTGTGGATTTCGGAGGATGGGGACGGCATATGGACGGTGTTGTTCGTGATGGGAAGCGCGAACGGCGCGCGGCCTTCACGATACCACTTAGGACGCGCGACGGCAATCACTACTGATAAACCTCACCGATATGAGTAACATTTTATACCCCCCACCTATTATTAACAAAATCTCTTCTCCACTTTGCCTGCTTTCCCTCCCCCATCCACAACACACATCCCCTCCCCTCTTTACCCACCAGCCGACGACGGCCGAAAACCTCGGTCAAAACTCCCAACATGTGTCCATTTCTACACCCATACCCAACTCACACGGCCTCATCCACGTTACACAGCCTCGTCACAGCCTCAGTTTCGGGCTGCAGGATCTGAGACCCAACGGCAAAAAGGCTGAAACACCGCATGTGCGGGAGGCGTTATTTGGGGTCTCACCGGCAGATGTTGACGGTGAGGGTGGTTGCTGGGTGAGTAGAATGGGT